ATGGTACGGTATTCAGTATATAACAAATACCGGTACCAAACTTCCAACCCTACTTGTGTGGGTGCATGAACAAACTGACTAAGGATATTAACATCATACGTAATATCCGGACGAGTAACAGTTAAGTAGAGGAGATGACCAACCAACCTACGGTAAGAAGAATTGTCAGAGAGGACTGCAGCAGAGGGAAGCGTAAAATGATGATTATGTTCCACTGGAAAAGCACTTGGATGACTTGACTGGACATTAGCTTTCTCGAGGATATCCAATGTATACTTGCGCTGGCATAGAACTATGCCACGCGGAGAACGAGCAACCTCTTTTCCCAAGATATAACGAAGAGAACTCTAGTCTTTAATACGAAACCTCTAGTCGAGAAACCCCTTAACATGGTTAATGAAGGAAAAATCATTACCTGCAAGGATGACATCGTCGACGTAGATGAGAGTCGTGACAAAAGTGGTGGCTCGACAAAAGATGAAGAGAGAATGATCTGTAAGCGAGGCGCGGTAGCCAAGTTCACATAAAACAGCAGTGAACTTGTGATACCAATTGCGCGAGGGTTGACGAAGACCATAGATTGACTTATGAAGGTGACAAACCCTGTTGTCACCTTTCTCAGCAAAACCAAGAGGAATCTTCATGTAGACCTCTTCTTCTAGGTCTCCATGAAGAAACACATTGTTGACATCAAGTTGATGTATGAATCACCCGCGAATAGATGTTATTGCAATCAAGCAACGAACTCTGACAAGCTTGGCAACATGAGCAAAAGAATCGTGATAATCCATACCTTCAACTTGAGTATATCCCTTGGCGCGCTCAAGGGTTCCATTGGGGAGAAACTTGATCTTGAAGACCCATTTTGAATCAATAATACGTCATCCAGGTGGAGGTATGATCAGACTCCACGTGCCATTTTGAACAAGATCAATGATCTCCTTGATCATGGCTTCCCGCAAATGAGCATACTGAACAACCTCATTAACACTCTTTGGTTCATCATGGCGAGTGACAGCAACCAAGAAAGCTCGATACGCAGGAGTGGCACGCTCATAATCAACATGAGCATATATGGGATAATGGATAGAGTTAGCTGCATAAACAGTGGTGGCACAATCACCCAACCGTTTTGGACGATCTCGTTCACTTCGGCAAAGAGGGCCGACTGGAGGGTCCGACACAACTAGGCTGGGGGAGGCACTGGAGCCCATGGATGTGGTGAGAAGTGATGAAACAGACCAGACAAGATAGGCCCAGATGTTGTATCTGAGCTGGGAGAAGACGAGGCATTGGCTGGACTCGGCCCATGCTGACTCGAAGTCGGCCCAGACAAGAGGCTTGGGGACGACGATGACGTAGACTCAATGGACTAGCTAACTGCGTGCGAAGGACCTGGCAAGAAAGAAGGTGGTCCGAGTGGATCTTAATCCTGGAAAGGCCCAGTGACAAACAGACTGGGGAAGGCAAAATTTTCATCAGACACCCACTGGAGACGTTGTTGATCAGTAGATCAGAAGGGGAAAATGCTCTTCAACAAACAATACGTCCCGTGAGACTATGATCTTAGACTAACAAGATCATAAAGCCAGTACCCTTTATGATCCGATGCATAACCCAAGAAACACAAGCTTACCCATGATCAACAAATTTGTGAAGACCTCGATGAGTGTCCTTAGCATAGACGTTACAACCAAAAACACGAAGATGGTGATAGGTGGATGGTTTCTGGAAAATTACCTCAAAGGGAGTCTTTCCGGTTGCCATTGCGGGAAGTCGATAATTAAGTAAAATTATTTCTCCACACACTCACCCCAAAAATGAATGGTAATCCTACATGAAATCTAAGAGCTCGAGCGGTATCAAGGATATGCATGTGCTTGCTTTCAACCATGCCATTTTGCTGACGAGTGTCAGTGCAACTGGTCTGAAAATGAATAGCATGTTGAGTGTAGAAATCTCGAAGCGAAGTGGATTGAAACTCTATTCCATTTTCAGTTTGAATATGCCTAATACGTTGATTAAACGGAGTACGAACCATCTCGATGAACATAAGAAGATATTTAGTGACTTCAGACTTGAAAGCAGTAGATACACACAAACTGTACGACTAAAATCATCGGTAATGGTGAGGAAATAATGGGCACCATTAAGTAATGGAACACTATAACAACCCCACAAATCAAGATGAATAAGCTCAAAACAATACGTCGTCTTTATTGAACAAGAAGGAAAAGGAGTTCGAGTATGCTTGGCACGAGAACAAGAATGACAAAAGTCTTCACTAGCACGCAAATGAGGAGACAAAAAACTACTAAGATGAGTCATCTTGGACAAAGATGGATCACCCAATCTTGAATGCCAAATTTCCAATGTGACTTCACTCGCACTGATTGCGGCAAAAGGTTGACAATCCCGTTGCTCGTAAGGTTGTAAGAAATATAGACCATCACGGAGAATCCCCTTCCCATTCCAGCTCCTGTATTGTAAGTCCTAGAGAATATAAAAGTCACGAAGAAATATCAAAGCCACATTGTTCTCCTTCGTTAGACGACTGACAAATTGTAGATTGCAATGAAATGTAGGACGTGAAGAGCTCTTTCCAATATTAAACCAAAAGCAAGTTTCACCGTGCCAACACAAGCTACATGAACACTGGTTGTGTTGGGTATTTTAGCTGGAAGGCTGGATTTATCACTTCGCACATTACTCAACATAGAAGCATCATAAACAATGTGTTCATTACAACCTGAGTCTATTAACCATTCTGAACTGGGAAAACACATACCTGCCATGTGGGATGATGGTGACTCGACTGGAACAGAACCAAGATTGCTCGACTAGGAAAAGAAGAGCTTCAGCTGCTCTAATTGTTGTAAGGAGAAGGGGGCGAATGGACTGTCAGCCTCTCGACCTGGGAAGCTCTGGATTGCGGCCCCTCATTGCGACGACGACGATTGTTGAGGACATTTTCCGAAGCTCCTGACTTCTCACGACCAACACGCCCATCACGGTTGTCATGACTTGGACACCTGATAATGTCAAAACAAGATTCCTTTATGTTCCCAAGCTTGCTGCAATGGATAAACTTTGGACGATTCCTCTACCGACCGGCGTTTTGCTCTTCTTCTTCGCGAAACAATAGTCTCAAGTTGAGGCCTTCTGGGCTATCAAACGATGTTGTTCGTTGGAGGAAACAATGTTTTAAGACTCTGCCAAACTTGGAGTGGGCTTCATGGCCAGAACTTGTGTGCGAACAACACTAAAACTTTCATCCAATCCAATTAGGAAGTCGAATAAATGGGAGCTCTCATCCTGTCTTTGGTGCGATGCTCTAAACCCCATGTGCACTTTGGCGATGGAAAAAGTGATTGAGATTCTTCCCAATATGTCTGTATACGTGTGTAGAAGGAGGATACACTTAGCTTCTCTTGCTTCAACATGCTAACGAGACGACGAACTTCATACGACGAGAAGCACTACCCTGTCCGAATTAATGTCGCAAATCAACCCATATTTCTTGTGCTGCTCGAGCATACCTTACACTAGCTCTGACTTCTTTGACCATGGAAGTCTGTATCCATCAACGAATGGCATCACATCGAGTCCAATCTCGCAGCTTGGGATATGCTGCTGGTTTTTGAATTATTTCATCAACGAATCCATATTTTTTCTTGATGATAAGAGAATTAGTCATGTCAATGACCCACGCTCCATAGTTGCTGGAAGTAAGAACCTCCCCAACCTACAATTGACTAGTTGTCTCTGTCAGATGCAAGTAATAAGGGGACGGGGGATCTTCATCTTTGTTAGGGGCAACGAAGGAAGAACTGGACGTCTTCTTTGCTTCCTCGTCCCTCATTGTGATTGGTTGACTGGATCAGCGACGCTCTGATACCATGAGAAATCGGCAATAACATGAAAGTAAATTGAGACGATGATTTTACGTGGTTCGACCTCTCAATGTGAGAGACTTACATCCGCAGAACTCTGACTTCTTCTATTATTAAGTTAAGGCCAATGGCCTTACAAGCAACACATATACAACCCTCTCAATACTTGACTTGAGGGTTTTACAAAGGGTAAACGAAACACAATTCCAAGACACACAATGTATGCTTGCTAGACACGACAAGCTTGTAGCTGGCACCGAGGAGGTTTCCCTGGAGGAATAAACCGAGTGGGCCGAAGGCTGGACTCACCCCAATAGGGGGTGGCAAGGAACGCTGAGCTCTTGTCACTTGAAGCGAGGAGAGGCCGAGAAGGAGATGCTGCGAGTCTGGTGGTCAGTGGCCACGACATAGCCATTAGGTTGACTTGGCTACACTGGATCCAAAAGTCCAATTCATATGGCTCAACTTAATATATTTAAAATATTATGGTTATATTCATCTCATAATGTTATTTAGGGGTCGTTTTGAGAATATGAGTTTAAATCTATAGATTGTCAACAATCTAAAGATTCTAACTCTTCGGATTGTGGAAAAAATATTTTAAAAATACTTATTGTTTGATAACTGTGATTATTAACATTTAATGAAAATAAATTTTTAAATGTTATATTAAATAACATGTTTATCCTTAATAAAAATTAGAGTGGTTTGAAAAAATTTCAAACTCTGTTCATAAATATATTTAGTATGATAAATAAATAAAAGAAAGAGAAAAAGTAGGATAAAAAAATCTCACGAATCAATATATAGAATCTCTCTGATTATGAGAGATTTGATATCCGTAGATTTTAGAGATTTGAAATCTCCAAAGCTAAAATCCACAATACAAAAAGCAACAAAAAAACATAAATTCTTACAAAATCTACGGATTCAATGAATCCAGGCCCTAAATCCCATTCTCTAAACGACCCCTTAATTTCTTGTGTTTACAGGTTCAATTTTAGGAGTGAATAACATGTTGATTCTCTTTTTTTTTTTTTTTTTCTGTCTGCCGAGGATACTATGATGTACGCATAAAAGAAAACTCAAACCTATCGTAGGCACCGAGACACAAATGTAACATTATTATTGGTAGTATTGTTATTATCGACTTCTTCTTCTTAAGAGAACATTATTGAACATAAATTAAACTTCTCACTCTATTTGGAGAAGCATGCACTCATAATGAATCTTGTTTCTAATGTCCCAATTGCGGATGTGGGAAGAGGCGGCCGGAGGTCAGGGGTTGTTCCTCTGATGAACCACCGCAGACGCAGTACTGCTGAACACATTCACAAGGAGCTTTGCAATATTTCTCACACTTCATCACCTCGTCTGTGGTTCTGCCTTCGACTCCGATGCTCTCCTGACCTGCAAAAATATGTATTTATATGTTTATATTGATTATGAAAATAAAAAATAAATAACACATTACCAATTGATTTGCTTCATAATAACGTACCAATGGTAAAGACTAAGAGCACGACCAAGAAAGTCAACTTCAAGGAAGCCTTCATCTCCATTTCTTTTGCAGACTTGTCTTCTTGCCTTTCAAACTAATGAGATTAAGCTTCCTCAGGTCCTATCGAGTTTTAGGAATTGTTGGGAATCCTGCTTCATGACAGTGGTGTGAGTAGTTTTTATAAGTGAATTGAGATGATAAAATTAAATGAATTTACATATTTACGAATGACAATAGGGGAAAAGGATATTGAATCAAATAAAATGATTCTAAATATTAATTACCCTTCCATCTATTTAAAAATATGAAATCACTTTTAATATATAGATCATATACTTTTTCAATATGTGTTAAGATTGATGAGAACACATGCATAACTACTTCATAAACAAATTAACCACTATTCACTCTTCATCCAATCTTAGTCATCCATACAACGAGTCAAATTCAAACATGTGGTTTTGGTTGAGCAGTAAGTACTACAACTAAGAATCTCATGGAGAGTTCGATCCAGGCTCAAGATGAACACTGGCGGCATGCTTAACACATGCAAGTCCCTTTTTATGCTAATAAAACACTATACTAAATTTTTTTTGGGAAATTGGTCAAGTTGGTTAGAAAGGGTATATTAAATTGAATTTTTTAATTCCAATGAGATTAAAAATATAGAATTTTAGAAAGTAAGTATCTTATGTAAAATCTAAATTTTTTTAGTAAAATCTTAATAGCAAATGTACAATTTTAGAGTGTTTTCTAAAAAAAGGTGGCAAGAAATAATTGAGACCCTAAAAACACTAGTTAACGATTTTGAATAAAGAAAAAATAAGTACTTATGATTCCTAGTCAAAATTGGGATTTAAATTTCAAAATCTATAGACTTTAAAATTTTACACTATTCACGATTTAAATCTTTAAAATTTTTAAATTTTACGATTCAAATCTTCAGGTGAACTTTACTAATTTTCCTCAGAATTTGCAAAATTATGTCTCTTTTGCTTCTTATCCACCAACATCATCTACCTCTCTCGCACTAACTATCATCGACCATCATCTATTCACATCAGCGTATTAATTATCATCGGTTCACCACTTTCCAACATTAACCTTGATAAATTGGAACATTAACATTGAGAAATTATCGGATATTTTTCGAGAAATACCACTGTTTAAAAAAACAATTACAAAAATATCATCCAATCCCGAAAAATTCCAAAAATTCCAAAAAAATACCACCATTTCAAAAAAAAAAAAAAAACCACCCCACCCCGCGGTTTACACGAAAACCGCTGGGTGGGGGAGCGGTTTTCGACCAAAGTCGCTTGGGTTGGGGGCGGTTTTGTTGTTTGCCGCGTGTAGGTTTGGTTCAAAACCACTGCCCCACCCAACGGTTTGGTCCTATTTTTTTATTTCGATAAATACTAACCTAGGTGGAAACTTCAAACAATCGTATCTTTGTGCTCAGGTATCCGATCGTAGCGAACTTTTTTCAATTTCGCATAACTTTCTGAGATCTTGCAAGACGCAAACCGCCGGTCCTCCCTTTGTTGGAAAAAAATGTCGTTTGCTACCCCGAACAAGTTTTTTTTTTCGATTTCGTCAAACTTTGGACGACCATAGCTTTGTGCTCCAAAATCCAAACTTCATGATTTTTTTTTTCATTGTGCATAACTTTTTAAAGACTACAATTTTTATCATAGACATAATTTCGGAATGTGCGTGGATTTGTGAAAAGGGAAGGTAAAGTTATTCCCAAAACCTCGTATATCCAAAAAAATAATTCATGTTTTGAAAATTTCTTCCCAGTAAAAGTTGTAGTCCTTGAAAAATTATGCAGGATCAAACAATATTTCATGACGTTCGGATTGCGGAGCACAAAGTTAAGATGGTCAAAGTTTGGCAAAATCGAGAAAAAGCCTGTTTGGGGTAGCAAACGACGAAGGCGGGACCAAACTGCCTATGGCGTTTGCGGCTTGTAAGATCTCGAAAAGTTATGAGGAATAAAAAAAATTCGCTACGATCGGATACCCGAGCACAAAGATACGTTCTTTTGAAGTTTCCACCTAGGTTAGGATATCGGAATTTTTTTTGGACCAAACCGCCCACGTACCAAGCGGTCTACAGAATTGCCCCAGACCCAAGCAGTTTTCATTGAAAACCGCCACCCCACCTAACGATTTTCGTGTAAACCGCTGGGTGGGGTGGCGATTTTCGAGAAATGGTTGTATTTTTGGAATTTTTCGGGGTTGGGTGGTATTTTTGTAATTTTTTAAAACAGTGGTATTTTTGGAAAACAACCGAAATTATCATTGTAAGTGTTATGTGTTGTTGTGTTATTCATTATTTTTCTTATTAATATTATTCCGTCTTCGTTTTTGTATAGACCTTAAAACCTACGATTTTACTATTCATTTTGACGATTCCAATTTTTGTCCTCATTTTCATTTTTACTTAAAATCGCGATCTTGACTGCTATACTCCTATGTCACCCACTCCGAGTCCCTAGTTGGAAAAGTTGAAAACCTTGAAGGAAGGAGGAGACGACCGGAGAGGGGAGTCAAAGGGGAGATGTGAGAAGAACGAAAAATGTGAGAAGTCGAAACTGGAATAAAAAAGGATAATCATATAATATCCAACGAGACAATATAATCTAGATAATATATGACTTTGATTACTCTATCAACGTTGGGGTTTAATTTCGATAATTCATTTGCATATATTTTAGTTATTTTCGCACACAATAGTAAAAATAATTACTTTAGAACGAGGCCTTTTTTGCCCATTTCTCTCATGATCGTGAATTCGTGATCATCAAATCATCATAAACCTCATCATCTCAGGGAACAGTAAAAAACGAACAGGCAACTTCTTACGCAAAATAAGGCCCTCTCTCTCTCCCCTTCGTTCTCCACCTGTCATCGTACATCTCTTCCCTGGTGGGCGGTGGTAAACGAACGGTAAAGCTAAATCCCCACTGTGCTGATTTTTTTTGTGGGTATTTCAATTCGAAGCTACTGACTTTCAAACACCAACTTCTCAATACAATACACCACACCGCCATCAAAAAGGGGAAAGAAGAAAAAGGAGAGAAACATCGAAGACTCCTGAGAAGAGAATTGATCTGATCTTCAGTTCCTTCCTACGTTTGCTTCATCTCTACTCCATTTCATCACTCCGCGGCGACCAATCCGTATCCCCTCGCCCTTTTCGGTATTTTTTCAGCTACTCTAAAACCCTAGACCACTGCATCAGACCTGGGGCTGACTGCTCTGTGACTTCCTCCCTCTGCGCACCATGGCCGATAACTGCTGCTCCACCCAGCTGATTGACGGCGAAGGCTCATTCAATGTCGAAGGACTCGATCGCTTCGTCTCCACCACCAAGCTCTCTGAATGCGGCCTCTCCTACGCCGTCGTCGCTATCATGGGCCCTCAGAGCAGCGGTATGTTGTGTTGTTCTCTGTTTATCTTTCTAATTTCAACTTGTTTCATTGTGGAGTGAAATGTGATTGCTTTGTTTTACTGGGAGCTGAGCCTGATCTTGCTCCGTGTGCTCAATTTAGCTTTTTTCGAGTTCATCTGAATCCCCTTTACTTGTCATCAATCAAGATCATGTTACAATCTCGTCCAGCTTATATCTTCGATTGGTGATTTTGGCAGCTTGTTCAGATTTACACTAGAGCAAGATCTGTACTTTGACTAATGCTTTTTCCGTTTTTGCTTTTGAGCAGGTAAAAGTACCCTGATGAATCATCTTTTCCATACCAATTTCAGGGAAATGGATGCCTTCAGGGGAAGGTTAGCATTAATAATCCTGTTTAAATTTTCCTGGACAAAGTCTTTTATTTGTTTCCAGTTATGTTGGCTATCTTCTCTTTTAATTTGCTTGTGACTCAAATTCCTTAACGTGGTCTAATGATCAATGTGGTATCAGGGGTCAAACAACTAAAGGTATCTGGATGGCCAAGTGCGTTGGCATCGAGCCGTTTACAATTGGCATGGATCTAGAAGGAACTGATGGCAGGGAAAGAGGGGAGGTAAACCATATCTATGTTTCAAATTATTATCTTTTTTGCTTGGTTAGCAGTTTTCCATATTACCGTATTCAATGGTGAAAGTGGACTTACTAAGGAACACAACTATACAATTGGGAGTATGAAATTTGAATGCCAGCTGACCAGGTGGCACTGTCGTGTGGTGCTCTATTGTTTTTCTTTTAGTTGATGTCGGACTGAGTTGTTGTTTACAAATCACGTCATATATTTTTTAACAATCTCTGTGGTAGGATGTAGGTTTGGTAGTTAGCAATTGAGAATTAGGTACTTTAGGTCACTTCGCCTGTCTCGTGAGAAATATGTTTATGTGTTGAATACTGTGATTCCGTGGACGGGAAAATGGTAATTTTGTGGCACGCTATTTTTCAGTTCATTTAAATTCTACTTGTTGTCCAGTAATTTACTACATGTCTATGTAACTATAGTGATAATACTGAACATCTTTTTTCCAGGATGACACTACTTTTGAGAAACAAAGTGCACTTTTCGCTTTGGCTGTTGCTGATATTGTGATAATAAACATGTAAGTTCGGCAAGTCGGAGATCATAGTTGTTTGCTTTCTCTTCCCACAAAATCTGCTTCCTTCGTGCACGTGGATGTAATTAAGGGCATAGATTAGCGGTATATGTAAGTTTACTTGCATGTGTGTAAACAGTACATATAAAAGGCTTTGAAATTTTTTACTTGGTCTGAAGAACTAGGCTCCTGCCCTGCATTTGTTCTACATTAATTCATAATTTATTCATAAGATGTTCGAGGTGTTTGCTGCCAACTCAACAATCTTTCCAGTACACATTAGGTTTTCTCTGTTCCGAGTTTAAAATGAAAACATATTATTTTATCTATACTGGTTTATCTTTCTATGTGTGAAATATTAGCTTTCAGATGTAAACTTCATTTAAGTGACAGTAAAACACTTCATAAGCTATATTCATTGATGGTGAAAATGTTACAAAAAGTTCAGCTTCAGTGGATATTTGCCTTGCGAAATACTTTATACAGGTGGTGCCATGACATCGGGCGGGAGCAGGCTGCAAACAAGCCCCTCCTGAAAACAGTGTTCCAGGTATGTCAACTGTTTGTTCATGGTCACGAGGTCCTTGGCAATTCGATTACTGTCATCACCTATTGGGCCATTTCCTGTGCTGTATGCAGGTCATGATGCGTTTGTTCAGCCCTCGCAAGACCACATTACTGTTTGTTATACGGGACAAAACAAAGGTAGTGATTTACTGTCATACTGTTAAATGCACTGAGCATGGCTTGCCTACTGTTGTAATTTATTTATGCTGATTCTGGTACTTTGCGGTTTTACGTGCAGACTCCACTTGAATATCTTGAACCTATTCTTAGAGAGGATGTTCAGAAGGTATTTGTCTTTGTAGTAGCCATTTATATTTGTTGGTTCTTGACTATCAGTCACTCCATTCTTTGGTGCTCACAAGTTTTCTAACTTGTGCAGATATGGGATTCAGTTCCTAAACCCCAGGCTCACCAAGATACTCCACTGAGTGAATTTTTTAATGTAAAATTTCTGTTACATTCACTTCATATCTTTCTGATCTGTTATATCGGGTGCACTCTAGATGGTCCGTTTTTCTTTCTTACAAGTACTAGATACCCTTGACATTTTAACTAATAAGTAGAGTTCTCCATTACAACATATTATTTTTACGTCTAAACTCCATCAAAATGTTCTACGCCATGAATTTTCCAGATACGGTGTTTCCTAACTATATAAGCTGTTGTGTTTTATCTCGGGGCTAAGGTTTACCTCTAGAATTCTCCCATTTATCATAAGTCTTAATTTGTTTTTGTCATTGGTTTTAAGGTTGAGGTGACTGCTCTATCCAGCTTTGAAGAGAAGGAGCAACAGTTTAAGGAGCAGGTAATGCAAATCTAACAATTTGCACAGCTTTAAGGTCAACTTTTGTTTCTGCAGTAAGCCTTATGGTCACTATTATGTTCTTATCCAATTGATTGGGCTTCAAATCTGTAATATTATTCTCTAAGACACAAATTTATCAGATTTGTTTTTTCTTTTTTGCTGTGCTGGACATGATTGTATTGATCTTGCTTTAGGTATCATCACAAATTTATCACTTATGGTCTATGTATTTCATCTTTTGAAGGTTGCTCAACTGAGGGAGCGCTTTTTTCATTCCATTTCTCCTGGAGGGCTAGCTGGTGATAGAAGGGGCGTTGTCCCTGCCTCGGCATTTGCTTTTAGTGCACTTCAGATTTGGAAAATTATAAAGGAGAATAAGGATCTCGATCTCCCTGCTCATAAGGTTCGTCAACTTTGGTCCTTAGACAAAATAAATTGTAGTTCCCTACCTGAACGTGTGTTTTTGTCTGTCAGGTGATGGTTGCAACCGTTCGATGTGAAGAGATAGCCAATGAAAAGCTTTGTTGCTTGAAGTCTGATGAGGTACTTCTTCTTAATCCAAGGGGTCTTGTCCTTCTTTTTTTGGCTGGATTATTCAAGAACTGTGAAATATTAGTACAAGGCCTGAGTGTTGTTAAATTTGCCCTAAAAAAGGGATGGCTAGAACTGGAGGAAGCTGTTGAAGCTGGTCCTGTATCAGGATTCGGGAAGAATGTCAGCTCTATCCTAGAAAGATACCTTTCAGAGTAAGTCGTGGTAATTTTTGTGAGTTGTCACGCAACTACTTTTTTTATGTTTCTTCCGGATTACTGTTTTCTCTCAATATTCTAAACCTTTTTCTCGACAGGTATGACATGGAGGCAACCTATTTCGAGGAAGGAGTGAGAAATGCAAAACGAGAACAGCTGGAGACAAAAGCATTGGATGTAAGATCTTAGTGTCTTCGAATCATCAGCCACTCTTTCTGGATTATGGAATTTGTTCTCTGTATAAATTTATTGCTGACAGTTCCCAGTGAAATTATGCTCTTGAGAGTTTGCCACTTCCCGTTGCTGAGCTTCTTGTATATCATGCAGCTGGTTCACCCTGTTTATGTTACTTTATTGGGACATCTACGTTCTAAAGCACTTGAGGACTTCAAGAGTAGGCTAGAGCAATCACTGAGCCGAGGCGAAGGATTTGCTGCTTCTGTTCGTGCTTGTACCGAATCTTCCCTTGCTGAGTTTGATAAAGGATCCAAAGGTATAACAATTTATGCTTTATTTTAAGTCGTATCTAGAGTACGAGTTATGCTGGCTATTATGCTGTCTTATTTTGTGGCAATGGGTACTTGCCGAGACACTTTTTCCTGGGGGATCAATGCTATCTTACAGATATAGGTGTTCCTTTATGGATTAATCAAGTCAAGTCACAGGTTAATTTAGGTCAACCCCAAATGATGGCTTAGTGGGAATGGGGGATGAAAAGCATCAAACACTTAGTCCAACCTGAAAAAGAAAATAGCACAAGCTCAACTGTCGTGTGGAATTGATGAAATGTTACAGCTTTTTGTGTCACCTTACCTGTATTTTTGTATGACCAATTTAAACTCTTTGTTAGCACCCTCTCATATTGTCCTTATGACTGAGGTTATGCCAGTTATAAATGTGCTTCTTCCAATTGGATGTTTTAAGTAGTTGCGGGACAACCAAAAAGGTGTATGCATTGTGGTAGCTGTTAAGAATTCAGAAGAAGAGGGGGTAAATTATTGAATATTAATCAATATCTAAGCCAGTTTCTTGTGGAAGAATGAGAATGGAAATTGTGATGGTTTATTAGTCAATCTCTGAGGACTCATCGCTTCAATGCGCTTTGTCGAAGCAAGTTACTGTGTATTACTGCATTGGAAAAGTTATGGTGGACGACTGGTACACCTTATTCATATTCCTTGCAGTTGGACCCTTAGTGCAGAACTGCTTGGAAGCGTGTACGGTACTCATTAACTTGACTAACTCTGGCAGTTCTGATATTTCAGATGCATCTATAAAACAAGCCGATTGGGATGCTTCAAAAGTTCGGGAAAAGCTTCACCGTGATATTGAGACACATGCTTCATCTGTATGCAGTGCCAAGTTATCTGAGTTGACAGCAAAATATGAGGTAATTTGTTTACCGTTATGAGTTCACTTGATGTTAGGACTTGCTAGCAGCATATCATCTATCATCTCGTCCAAGGTCTTTCTGTGAACTTAGTGACTCTGCATTCTGGTCGTATATAACTGAATCTGGATACGCTGTTGTATGCAGAATAAACTCACCGAAGCTTTGAGTCATCCTATAGAATCTCTCTTTGAGTCTGGTGAAAAGGACACATGGGCTTCAATCAGAAAGCTTTTAAAACGTGAAACAGATGCTGCTGTAGCTGAGTATTCTACTGCAATTGTTGGTTTTGAATTGGATGAAGCTACAGTTGATGCACAGCTGCAGCACTTAAGGGACTTTGCAAGAAATGTAGTGGAGAAGAAAGCAAGAGAAGATGCGGGGAAGGTTTTGATACGTATGAAGGATAGGTAAAGACTAATATGCTAAATTATGTTTTGGTGTATCCTCTGATGTAGTTATTATATGGTTGACTAATTCCTGGGATGTGTTTCAGATTTTCCACAGTTTTCAACCATGATAATGATTCAATGCCGAGGGTTTGGACTGGAAAAGAGGACATCCGAGCCATTACGAAGGACGCACGATCTGCGGTAATGTTCATTGAACTTTCAATAAGTGACTTCGTGCTTGAACATACAAGGTTTGTATCTCAAACGGCTTTACGTGGTGCAGTCCTTGAAACTTCTCTCAGTCATGGCTGCAGTACGCTTGGATGAGAAACCAGATAAGATTGAGGATGTACTCGTCTCCTCCCTCATGGATGGAACTATCACCACTCAATCTTCTCAAAACAGAGCTGTTGGAGCTACTACTGACCCTCTTGCCTCGAGTTCCTGGGAAGAGGTATTAGCAATTATTTGATGTTTTGGCATCTCTTCTTACTATTAACATAGCTTCTGCATATGATTTCATATACCTCACTTCTGCGCCAGCAATTTACTGCTAGTATCAAATGTGTGGCAGGTTCCTCCAAAGTGTACATTAATTACACCAGTTCAGTGCAAGTCCATGTGGAGGCAGTTTAAATCAGAGACCGAGTATACTGTTACACAAGCACTTTCAGCTCAGGTACAAATACTCCTTGAAATTGTTTACCTGTTCCTGGTCCATCTTACGCTTATATTCACCCATTGGTTATCATTTTGATCTCTTGAACTTTTCATCTGATGTTTCTACTCCCATAACCTAAACAACTAGCTGGTACATAGACATCCGTTATCTGCTTCATTATGTCTAACCGCACAATTAACTTCATCTACTGCACAATCTACCATGCATTTTTATCGAACGTGCCCCTTTACTATTTTTTATATAAAAAATACCCATATATTTTAGAAACATCATCAAACATGGCAATTTATTAACCACGGTCAAATCGTGGCTTGGGAAAAAAAATGTCTTAATATACCCCTAATAATTTCACTTTAACATTTTTTTGGTTTCTTTTGTATATCCCAATACCCGTAATAATTTCATTGAAACAAGACCTAGAGAAATAAAAGGGAGGTTAAAACTGACATTTCACCTCCCATTTTGTTGATGTCAAGTAGTCCCGACAGGGGTTCGCCTGTGGTTGACAGTTTTTGAATGCAAATTTTAATAGAAGGGCATTGTTTGACAATGTTTCTTAAGTGGAGGGGGCTATTTTTTATGCAAAAAATAGTAGAGAGAGATGTTTGATAAAAGTGCACAGTAGAGAACATATTATACCTATAATCCTTCAAAATGATGTATTTCGAATCTGAACCTTTAGGTGACATTTCAATCGCCTCATTATAAGTGTTTTTCTACTCCCTTTTTCCCTTTCCGTTTGTTTTGTTTAGTGTTTTAATTTTACCTTTAACTTATGAGGACGTAAATTCGAAATTCATTATATTAACTTTCAGAATTCAGTCAATATATTTAGTGATTTATATAGGCATCTTATTTGAAATCCTTGCATCATCAATATCTGGACGTTCTAATATAGTTTTGAGACTATTCTTCTGGGCTTCATGTGATCCAGACTATGATTCATTTGGAGGATTTCTGCGCATGGGCTTTATGTTCTTACCTTGTTGTTCCTGTTTCTTTGGTTTCACTCCTTCCGGTGAATCATGCCTGATTCTGGTTTAATATGTGGTGGTACGCAATGTCTTTTTCAGGAGGCTCACAAACGAAATAACAACTGGTTACCTCCTCCATGGGCAATTGCTGCAATGCTCATCCTTGGTTTCAACGAGTTCATGCTTCTGTTGAAGTAACTCCCTTGCTGATTATTTTTCATTGCTTTAAAGATGTCAACATCTATATCTTATCGCTCAATGAAGGCAACTGACATTAAGACCTAATGAACAGGAACCCCCTTTACCTAATGGTTCTGTTTGTTGGATTCTTACTCTCGAAGGCCTTGTGGGTACAGCTGGATGTTGCTGGCCAGTTTCGACATGGCCCGGTAAGTCTAAAATATAAAGCTTATAAAATGCAGACAAGTACATAGCAAAATGTAAATTAAAGCCTGTGAATTTCACATCACTCGGACATCAACTGATTAGCTTTTTTTCTTGTTCCTTGTTATGCAGGTGGCGGGAATACTGTCTATATCGTCCAGGTTTCTTCCAACAATCATGAATCTACTTAAGCGACTCGCTGAAGAGGCTCAAGGTCAAGGCCAGCAGCAGCAGCAGCAGCATCAAACGCCTACAGCTCCAAGACCATATCCCGTAGATTCACACAGTTTCAAGAATGAAAGTTCCAGTTCAAATCCAACATCCACTGTGATTCCCGACTCTTCTGTATCCTCCTCCAATGTCTCATACTCAGACAGTGGGATGGAATACTCGAGTCCAAACCAGATGCACAGGCGGAGTTCGAAGGCAGAGGCAGAGTATTCCTGATGTCCGACTCCACTTCCTACGATGTTTGCTTCATTTTTTGAGCGGGCCGACAAGTCGATCTGTGCGTCACCGGATGCATTAGGATCCCAGGATGTTTGTAATCTTTGAACGAATTAGGAATCTTTGGTGTGTGTTTGATAGTCTGAAATCATGATCTCCGAACCTTTCACCTTTGTATGATAAATTGAGTATTGTTCTTTTTGAGCATTCCAGAAGAAGGGAAGAAGTTACACATTGGAGTTTTGAATGTTACAGACTATGATTCTGTTTCTGCCACAAAAGAAAAAATTGTCATTACATTACTGTTTTCTCGTTGAAGCCAATCAAGCATATACAAAATTGAGTACGGCATGCAAGAGGTGCGAGCCAGCAATTAAGGAGTGATTAATTAAGGAGTGATTCATAGTACCCTGGCTAGGCAACCCTGCAACAAGATCCAAGTATGCTTCCGGTAGTGGATGATATTACAACCAAGTATACTGCCCCGGTTATGTACAAGGTTGCAAAACTGCGTCTACGAATTTTGAGAGCCAGACCATCGCTTCTTCAGTAGTTTCGATATCGTCAAATCTGCTCCTCCAAACCCATCCAGTATCCCATTTGCTGAAGGGAACTCAGCTCTCGATGTCGAACTGTAAGAAAAAGACAAGGCAAGTCAATAGAAAGAGGGCAACAGACAGTATAGGTTATTTGACAATTGGATAGAAAGCATGTGAAAGGCATCACAGATCGTTTTTCATCTCTTATCCCAAGTTATCATAGTGTTCCTTGGCACAAATTAGCACAGTGATGCTCCAGTAACTTCATATAAACCTCAACAAACCCCAGCAAAAGCTAATGTTTTGCTTCTTACATCCAGTTTAAGATTTACCCAATTTTGTACAATCGTGATTGTACACGAGCATCTTCTGAGTTTACAAGTTTACCTGCAAGTCCCGGTTCTCGTTTGACTACAAAATTGATGGACCAAAAACTGGTTAAACTCAACAGTTAAGCCAATAAAGACTATACCTGCTCCGTAAAACAATACACGGCATGCCAATTCGCTTGGCTGCAGCAACTCCAGATTGGCTTCCACTAACAAGAACACAATCTTGGACACGGTGACCAGCAATCTCTGCCGCTGCACGCAGTGCAACTACAACCTTTTCTATGCTGCACAATCTCGATGCATCATTTAAAGCTAGAATACCACACAGGGCAAAATGAGGTATTATAACCAATGTACTTGGGGCAAGAGGTATACTAACCTCTCAGATGAAGTCGCACCAAGCTCTACTTTTAACTTCAACATCGATGCAACTTCCTCAGCAACCCTCTGTTTCTCAGCGGAAGCTGAACAGGTGGAGCAAGAACTAATTTTCAGTGGAAGAGAAATGAAGAACACATGACACAGACAAGTAAAGAATCTATGCCCGTAGGATTTACCTGCTTTCTGCACTTGCCTAGCTAGCTGCTCATCCAAACCAGAGGAGACCCCTTGGCCTAGAACAAGTTGGCTGTATAAACTCCGTCCTATTTCCTCATTTCCAACAATCTTGATCTTCGACATTCTTGCCTCCCCAAGCTTTTTTATAACGGATCTAGAAATTTCAAGCACATTGAAGCAAAAGAAAGAAAAAAGAATCAGGCACTCCTAGTTACGCTCTCAAAGAACAACATTGTGGTGGAGCAAGTGGTAAAAAAGGCAATCTGACATAGTGATGAGGCAACTTATCGACAATAAATCAGCATTATGAGAGTACTGAAAAATAAATGTAGGGATTTTCTGAACCCGGCAAACAATGCAACAGACAGGCTACAAGCCATTTGCACTTTAGAAACAATTTTGTGTTCTATTTTTGGGGATCATAGCCAGTTCATTTGAGCAGGACTTTCTTGAATTCTGTTTCTTATTAAGAATTTGCAGTTTATAGCAGAGTAGAAGCAGGAACATTGCAAGTAACTGAAAGTAATACCACCCTGTAAGTGAGCACACTCATGAAAATACCTAAGATAACCCTGGTGATATTACGTTGAATTCGGGCATTTGAAAACCTAAGGAAGAGAATATAACAAATCATAGCATATTCACTGTAATCTTTTAAGTAGAGTTCTTCTCTAACTAGACAGCCTTCTTATTCATTTAACTATCTGTTATTTGAGCTCCAGAGAGTGGAACATACCTGGCTACCTTTTCATCACTTTTACCATAAGTCGTCATTACAGCTACCGGTACCCCTTCATCATATGCATCATCGATAAAACTGCACAATACAACATTTCTAAGTCTCGAATATTTAATAATAAACATCTGCCTAATGTATTCATCGTTCCTCTATGAGACGAGATGACTCACTCTTCGACTCCTGGTCGTAAAGTAGAGCCTTCAGATGCCACAAACTCATCCAATGCTTTTTTCTGCCAACATCCACATATACTGAAAAATTAATAAACCATACTACTCACTCTCATCCAGGAAAAGCTTGGAGAAATTTGAGTACCATTCGATGAAAATGCAACCAAGAGAAAAAGATCTCAGCTACATAGCTAGCAATAATACCTTTTCTTGTAGAACATTTTTCACGAACGTGTCTTTCTCACTTGTTGGCAAAGAAGTAGGCCAACCAATCTGCAGGAAGATGCAGAAATTCTGTACAACACCAACCACCTAAACGGTATGATCAAAGTCGAACAGAAGACGTGCGGTGAACTTACCCGATTAAAATACAAGAGCAGCATTCTTTCCTCATCACCGGTACTCTTCCTGGTAACAGAGAAGAAGAGCCATGGACGTAAGATAGTTCATTTACAAACTGGCAATAACAAACAGACATTCATTCTGCCAATATGAATTCATACAGATGCTTGAAGTGTCAACATGTGAGGGAGAAACTATTCCCTAAATGCGAATAGAACATGACTACATAAGTGTTTGTATTATGATGACATCAGGCATAAAACTAACCAATAAATTCGACGAGAGGATTTCAATACAAACTGCATATACAATGAAAAAGAAGGAGGCCACACCTAAAGAGGTCCATGTAGATAGGCTCAGTCCATTTGGCACAGTCAAGTCCAAGCTTCCGAAATGCTGATAAGAAAAGAAGGGATGGAAATTGGCAACTGAGTCAACAATTTACGCCTTCAAATTGGGTTCTCTTCAAATTCAACTGAAGTTAACAGTGAACGAAGATATCGCCTCACCTTCATTAAAAGCTTGGCGATTTCCCAAGCGATATGCGTCCATAAGGACCCTGCAAGAGACGCCAGAGATTTCAAAGGAAACGCCCCACTAGGCAAACAATTCAACACAAGGAACAGTTACCAAAAAAAAAAAAAATACAAGGGACAATGGGGGTACCCATCAACTTCAAGGAGAACAGCAAGCTCTGGACATGGGGTTTGCTCTGGAGGAGTCGAGGCAAAGGGTGAGCTGCTGAAAGCAGTGAACCGACTGGGTGGCTTTAGATACTTCACCGCCGAATTACACTTTCTCGGGAAAGTGAAGGAAAATGATGGAGCCAAATAGAAACTGATGAAGCTACGTTGTGGGAATTGGGCATATTTTCTGCTAGCCCCGGCGGCGGAGGACCTGAGGGGGACAAGAATTGAAGAAGAAGTAGCTACTGGAGCCGTTTCCATGGCAGGCATGGCTCCTAACTAACATTAACTGCGTTCCTTTTGGAGTGCGAAAGACGACCGCCACATTTTATATTTATTTATTGCTCGCTCGGTCCTCGGTGTATGCGACATTGCTTTGAAATAGGAACTTCCAGCGGGCCTACCAGTGGCGCGGTGGAGGGCTTTCTCTAGATGGCCATTGCTTAATTGCATCTATTGGACTTGGTTTCATGGGCATTTTCCCCCAAATATACATAAGAATTAAAAACAATTTCTAAACTACCGCACTTATAAATTTTTTCTCCAAAATACCTAACTTTGCAGTGGTTTGAGTTTAAGGAACTCGAACTACTAACTGATTCGAGTGTAAGATACTCGATCTAAACATATATCGATGATGTAAGCCTCGAACCATGTGGTGCTGAAGTGGTTCGAGTTTGGTGAACTCGAACTACTTCTTTGAAATTTCCAACAACCTTAACTTTGTGCTCAATTATCCGATCGTGGCAATTTTATTTCATTTCGCATAACTTTTCGAGGAGTACAACTTTTATAATAGAAATATTTTCAGAATATATGTGAAAATATGAAAATTAAAGTTAAAGTTATTCCCAAAATCCCTTTTATTAAAAACAAATTCCTATTTTGAAAATTTCTTCCCTTGTAAATGTTGTAGTACTCAAAAAATTATGCAAAATAAATAAAAACTTTGCGACGTTCGGATTGCGGAGCACAAAGTTATGATCCTCCAAAGTTTGACAAATTCGAAAATTTGTTCTTTTATGGGTAGCAAATGACATTTTCTCGGAATATGGCCATCAGAAAATTGCTCGTTTGGCAGAAAGTTCCTATATATATAAAACAAAATTGTGCCTTCGCCCCGAGAAAACGTCATTTGTTACCCTTAAACGAGCAATTTTTTGATTTTGTCAAACTTGGTAAGATCATAACTTTGTGCTTCGTAATTCGAACGTCGCATTTTTTTTTATTTTGCATAATTTTTTAAGTACTACAACATTAACATTTACTAGAAATAAATTTTCAAAATAAAAATAGGATTATTTTTTAATATAAGGGGTTTTGGGAATAACTTTAATTTTCACATTTCCACATATATTCTGCAAAATATTTATATTATAAAAGTTTTAGTACTCGAAAAGTAATGCACTTATGTGAAATGAAAACAATTGTTACAATCAGATAACCGAGCATAAAGTTAAGGTTGTTGGAAATTTCAAAGGAGTAGTTCAAGTTTACCAAACTCGAACCACTTCAGCCCCCACATGGTTCGAGGATTACATCATCGATCTACGTTTAGATTGAGTCCCTTACACTCGAATCAGTTAGTATTTTGAGTTTCTTAAACTCGAACCACGCCAAACTTAGGTATTTTGGGATTTTTTTTTATAAGTGTGGTAGTTTAGGAATTTTTTTTAATTTTATATGTATTTAGGGAATTTTCCCGGTTTCATGCTACTATTATCATTCAACATAAAATGCTTCGTTACTAAAATACGATACGAGAAAGTTACGTATAAAATATGTATGTGTATTTTATGTCGTCTCTAATCTAAATAGTCATTAAAATATAAAATTATTTTAAAAATATATAATATTTAAGTTAGCAATTTAATTCCTCAAGTACATATATAAGCGTGTTACACGAGTTTTATACGAGAGCCATCAAAGTGAACGGAGAAAAATGAAACAACTTGACAATAATACGAATATAAAATTTTTAAATGAATAAAATACATATAGCTATATATTCGAATATTAAACGAATTATTTACTAACTATTAGCTCTCCTCTCCTCAGTATATTAACGGGGAAACTTAGTGGTTGACCAAAAATACTGCGTACTATTTCTGTCGTTTAATGGTAGATCCAATCATACAACATGAATTGAGGCCAGCCCGTTCAACACTTAAGAACTAGAAAATGAAGCAAGTGATCTAGGCATCAAAATATATAAAAAAACAAAAACAAAATCAATGTGTTAAATCCCAACATAACTATATAGACTTTCTGGGGCAGAACCCCCTTAGATTGTTTTTTCTTGCACTGTGCGCAATCCACGGAGGGAGCACATAGTCAATTCCCGCCACAACTTTCCATCCTAGACAGTTTGACTGGGCCGCCAGTTCCCTCCTAGAAGCCCATTGATTCCCTCCATCGAAGCCCATTAAAGCTCGCGTCCCTAGCTTTTCACAATTTATCATTATTGGCTTGCTCTTTCCTGTTCAATTACGGCTTGCTTTGGTTTCTTTAATTTCACGTGATTCTGCTTTTGGTTTAATTATTTTTGTGTTTAGCTTTTTGGATTTGGAGTTATAACCATTTCTTATTTTTAATTCTTCAAAAACCCACTTACTGCCCCATTTTGATCCCTGCACTGCATGCCTTCCTATGGTATTATATACAATATCCATACCTACATATGATAAGATTATTATTATATAACATAAAAATTTCATCTATGATTTTTCTATATTTACACACTTCCGACACTAAAATTGTGCTTCTTTATGCTATTACAATTCTTATATAGATTCAGGATACAACTTCGAGCCGCGGACAAAACAACTCAAGCAGACTTTGTTGTTCTGGATCGAGAGAGTGATAGATTTTTTGGTATATCTGCTGAGAAACTATTCCAAGACAATGATCGAATGAGAGGACCACCACCTGCTCATCTACTACAAATTGAGGGAACGACGCTGAAATTCGACATCAAGCTCACTGACTATAACATCGCAAACCCAACAAGTGAGTACACAATTTGGAAGATAGGGCTGGAGGATGATAACTATAACTCAAACGATCACCCCGAATCAATTGAGGTAAGTCCAACTAGCATGAAATTATATTCACCTTATTTACAATAATGCATTATAACCAACACGATTTGGAAATTCTATTCAAAATGAACCCTCTAATTATAATTTAATTACAATGCCATCTCAAGTGCTCATACATTGATTTTGCAATGTGTTTAATTTTATAGCTTAAAATAGTGCAACATTCCTTTATTTCCTATTCACTTGCATGTTGCTACATATTTGAATATATAAGCATCCTATATACGTCTTCACTTACCAAATATTATGATTTTATGATTCAATAAAACAACAAATATGTTTTATTTTTTAATGGCACAAAACCAATATCATTATCCTAATTATGCAGGAGATCGAAAATGGCATTGGCAATGATGTGGTGGCTAGAATCGGTGTAACAAATGATGATGATCTTGAGAAGAATGTGGAGTCTCCTGATATTGAACCAAAACAGAGGACTAATGGAGAAGAAGACTTCAATAACGGTGGAGATGATGATGTTGCTAATAACAAAGGAAATGCAAACAAGCTAAAAAGAAAACATGGAGTGATAGTCTCTGACAATGAGGAACAAATAGAATGATTAGCGAAAGCAAATTAGGAGTCGGTCCCCTGGCATATGGTTTCTATATTCTTTTTTTGGAAAACAATTTTACTCAATGAGTCGGTTAGTATATTCGGAAAATACTATGATTGTGTGGTTAAAGTACCCGTCAATCAATGTATTGCGCATCACATCATTGAATTGAATACCGAATTTCAGAGCTCTGCTCAAAACTGCATAGCCAAAATCTACTCGACCCAATTTACAGAAACAACGAAGCAACATGCTAATCGTGTAACGATTGTGTGGGACTCCAGCTAATTCCGTTTGTCTAAACGCATAGAAGGCAGTCTGGAAGGCGTTCATTCCCATAAGAGAATTTACCAATTGACCAAATTTCACAACCGACGGTCTGGGGTTCATATGGAGCATCCTACTAAATGAATCCAAGGCATACGCTGGTGAAAGTTACAGAATTGGAGGTCGCAGGAGTAGTTGAATTGGAGGCGAAGTAAGACGAGGGAGTAGCAGTCATACCGATTTTTCTTCGCCGATGAAATAGATAGACGATGGATGATCCTAGCCATGCTGAGCTACTGAATTGCGTTGAATTGAAAGCATTGGCAACGAGAGACCCTGCCAACCATCAATAGATACTACCAGCCCTTCGCCAACCTTTACCCTGTACATTTGGAAGTGATAAATTTTCATTACAATTAAAAAACAAATTTTTAAACACATACATGACAACACGTTAATCACAGTATTATACAGTGATGACCAGTATAATCATTTTTAAACTTTCAAGTAAATGATATGTTATTAAATTTATCCATTGAATTCATTTGGAAGGGGTATAATCATTTTACGGAATTTAAGTAATACAGAATAAAATTATTATTTATGCTATGATTTTAAAAGTTAATGTTGATGCTAATTGGTGGAATCAAGGTAATTTTTTTCTATTTGACGGTAAATTTGCTCTTTAAATATTTTTAATTATTATTTTATTTAAAATGTCGTATATAATTTAAATATTATTATGAGTTGTAAGAAAATAATTTGAATTATTTAACGCTACTAAGAAATTAAAATATTAAATATTTTCATATACCTTTATTTCTAAATATACTACCTAATAAACACAAAGCTCCCATCAAAATTGCTATTTCTATTTACGCGATTGGCAAATGAATCCGGCCAACCGGCCGGGCTTGTGACTAGTTTAGTATGAAGTATGAACAGATTGTCCTATTTTTTCTTTTCGGCATAATATAACAGCTGGGCTATTTAATTCTTCCAGCACGTGAGTAGACAAAAGACTTCCAATTTCTCCTGATTGCTCAACTTTGATGATGTTCGCCATCAATTTGGTGGTCGGCTTCCTGACAAAGAGCAGTTGTCAAAGGAGGAAAAAAACAGTCGACATGTAATCACTCCAGCGCCTAGTGATTATGAATTAGAATGGTCAGATTGAGGGCGATTCACCTTCAAAACAAATCTTACGGTTAAATTGAGAGTGAATAAGGTCCAAAATCGTGTAATTCTATAAATTCTCACATTTAATCACAATGAATATGTTGACATTTGACAAGAGTTTCATACTTAAGTTGATAAACAAAAATAATAATCAACAGTAAAAGTCT